AAATTCAGATGTTATACCAAATCAAAGTGTTTTGGGTTACAAAAGACTCTGATTTCATCAGCAGTAATTTAAAACGTTGATAAATATTCTATTATGAATAATTTATATGTATATAACAAAATATAAATTTTACCATAAAGTATTATACTTTATATTTAAATATTTTATTGACGTAATCGTTTATTATAATAGTACACATCACATAGGTATTTAGGGTATTTAAATATTATAGAATATGATTATTTTTAAATATAAATACTTTAATATAATTCTAATTCTATATTGAGTAAAGGTTCAATTTTTTCATGTTTTCGACGCTTTTTACAGTGAATAACTTATTGATTTGATTATGATTTCAAATAAGGTTACTAATTTGTTTGAAAATTGTTGCGAAAACAATAACGGTGTAATAATAATATTTACCCTGTACTCAACCCACAATTGAGTTTTAATTTTTGAAAACCATGTGTGTCTAAAGTCATTAAAATCAGATTACTCAATGGTGGGAATGCGTGAAATTTACATTAACATGTTTTGTTACATTGACCGATCGTCAATTTCGTGCGACACGGACAAAGCGCACATGGTGACGAAAATGCTGATTTTCATCTGCCTGCCGTGTAAGTTGTGTAACCCAATTTCGCAGGGCCGCTGGTTTGGTCGACATCGAATCAGTAGGAAAAAACCACGGGGGCCCTCCATAGTACGTACAATATCATAGTATAATATATTGTTTTTCAGGGAGCATTGTGATCGGCAAACGCGCCGAATCGTTTGTTGGAACATGTGTTACATCAGCTTTTGGTGGCTATAACACTATTATATTGCAATTTTTTATTATTATTATTTTTTTATTATTGCGTATACGTACGAGTATATATTTTTTTCTGATCATCGGTCCTCCAGTCCTTCGGGCAGAAAACGAGCTTATGATTATCACGGGCAACCGCGAAAATCAATAAGTCATTGTAAACTACTTTCCGATGGTCACCTGATTCTAAACAAGTGATTTCCATGGTTGTTCTTTTTTTATTAAGATAATATTCTGTGACCACAATTCACCACTGTGGCCATTTTTAATATTATTTGTACACTATGTTAGGAAAAATACAATTTGGAAGTCAGCTTATGTTTTTTACACCCTTCTAATTTTGTTCCTTATACACATTTTATATTTTATACTTTGTTATACAAATATTATTCTTAAAACATATTTATGAAGTAGATGTGTTAAATTTAAAAAAAGTATTACACATAAAATAATAAATTTAAGTCACTCCGAGAAAAATAAATTATTTTTTCAATCGATTTTTATTTTTGTTCTTCTTTTATTATTTTATTATTAATTAAAATAATTTTTTTCGTTCTTCATTTTATTCAGGTATTCCAATATTCTTTTGCTTTGATCGCGATTACATGAGGTATTATAATAGCACAATAATACATTGTGAGTTTTATCAGATTTATTCTGTTATTTTATATAATATGTATATCCTGAAAGAAGAGGGAAAACTATTACAGGTACCCTTATGTATTTTTGGTATAGGTTACTGGTTACTTGGTGCTGGTTATTTTAGGAAAAACATGTAATAATGTACATTAGTTATTATAATAGCAAAAATAGCAATCGATAGGAACTTAATGCAGATTTTAAAACTTAACTTGAACAAAATTACAAATAGGTAATTGTTTAAATCAGAACATGCACAGTGGAATTCGGGTTTTTTATCAGAATTTAGAATAAATTGTATTATTAAATAAAAGAGAAAATTGAACACATACTGAATATATCAGTCTACTCAGGTGACCTTACTAATGTAATTCTCGTGAGGTTGTATCCCAACGGATGCGACCGAAATATAACTTCCCAACACAGTGGGATTCAATTTTTATTATTTTGTTTTTTTTTTTTAACAGTTCTACATAATATCGTTCAGTGTTTATCCAATATTCAAGACTAATTAAAACTACATCGATTTTTGTTTCTAAAAATAACAATTATTTTCTTTTATAATAAATTGGTATTAGTCATCTGGGGAATGAAGTTTATAGCTTTTACATTTTTTTTTACTCACTCAAAATTTTGAATTACAGTAAAGATCGATACTTTGAAAAGGGTAGTATAATATTTCTTATTATAATTTCACATACCTAATAAGATATAGGTTATAATTCATATAAAATTTGAGAAAAATCTTTTCGAATTTGGTTTGATTATCAAAATATACGTAAGAGTATATTTTTAATATTGGTTAAATATTTTCTAAATGTTCTAAAAAGGAATTATGCGAGTTTATTCATTTACAATTTGCTATATTATGCGTATATATAAAATATACGTGATATTGTACAGTAAATGATATAATAACAAAATATTATTATTTAAATTGTGATTGTATTATAAATGTTCAGTAAGTAAATAAGTTAGAAGTCATATTTATTTTTCCCTTTACATGTATGTTTTAATATATTCAAGATCTCAACAATATATTAATTAATTGCATTCACTCATATGTCATTTTGCTTTCTCGTGATAAACTCTAAGTAAACAAAATTTTATTATAAACAATTGAAAACTTTTGGCTTCAATTAAAACTTACCGTAAAGGAAATTATATATTAAATTAATTGCAATAAGCTTAATTATTTTCATAGAAAAGCCAATACATTTTTTTTCTTAAAAATAAACATTTAAATATGTAGCTTATATTTTATGATATCATGATATCTCCGAATAAAATACTTACGCAATTGGTATAGTTTTCATTTTGTTTTAATAATTAAGTTTTAAGAAATAAAATCGAGTAGTATAAATAGTATAACTATAAGAGTCTACTAATATAATATTTTGAGGTGGAGTTTTAGATCTTAATTGTATGTTAATAGGTAGTAAAATTACAACCAACAAATTGGCTTGATCAGCGCTTTGTGATACATGTACTAACATACATTTTTATCTTGAGTTTGTCTCTTAATAATTTTATTACATGTTTTAATATTTTTAAATGTTTTTTTTTTTAAAATTTAGTTATAAAATATTAACAAATGTCAATTGGGAATAACTTAAAATAAATCTAAAATCTTAAACATTTCATAGATACCCAAATATTAGTAAACTAACTTTAGAAGCGTATAGTTTTTAAAAACTTCAATAATTTGAAAAATTATTTTTCTTGATAATATGTATAAAATTTTAGAATGCAAAATACAATATATTTTTAGGACAAGTTAATTTTAAGATATTTGTTCAGTAATATTATTGGTGTGAGTCTGAACTGTGTAGAATCACTGTCATTATAAAAAATACTAATTTGATATTTATTTTGTGTTCGTCAGTTTGATCTTTGATGTATTATGTCAGGTTCTCGACCACAGTCTAATTACGGTTTAAGTTACAGAGAATTTTTTTTCGAAAATGGAGTTATAATAATTTAAACAAATAACTCTTTTGCACTTCTTGTACATTCGATCTTATACCAAAAGTGTTTTTTAAATATGTAATAATTATTTATGTCAACGATTTTTAATGGTATAATAATATTTTAAAACCTTATTTCGCAAATATATTGTACAAGAAGCATATTAAATTATGTGAAAATTTCAAATAAACTTTATTTAAATAAATGAAATTAACTTAATAAAAATTGTATTTTTTCTTTTAAAATACTCTAGCCGTAACGTAGCTTTATTAGTGGAATATTTTATTTTTATATATACATTATATAGATGATATTTTAACAATCTATGCGTGATCTATGAACAGCAAAACATACTAATTTTCTTTTCTATATATATATTTGTAAACGAAAATTGTATAATAATAAATCGTCAAAAAACCATCAAAATATAGTAAGTGGCGGCTATGGAAAGAACCTTAATGCATAATATACACATAAACTGTACAGTTATTTCGTGTTAAAATATACAGTGCGTGTGTGTGACGTGTGTAAGCGTTAAGTTGACAAATAAAGTTATTGGTTAAGTCATTGATTACACAACAACAAAAAACAGCAAATATTTGACTTTAGGATGTGTAAGAACGAAATTATACAAAATGTACTGCTTTTCAAAGTTGTCTATAATTCCCCTATACCTAACCTCCCCCCCCTGTTTGGACAGTCATACAGATCCATTATTATCTGTCAATTGTTTGCATTGGAGTACACATTTAACATAAATCAGAAACATTCAAAATATTCAAATTTGATTTTGGTGATTTTTATTTAACACAAAACTGCTGTTGGTATTCTCTCAAATTCGTGTTATGTATTTATTCACAACTTTAATGCAATAAAAACCTCTAATAGACGACCGTCCAAAAGGCTTCAATCAAAAAAATCTTATAGAGAATAAGGTTGGGATACCTACCTACTGTTTTATCACTGCGTCGGCTCACAGAAGACTATACAATTTATAGTGTCTACATATTATATTTACACGTAATCCGACTAGGATTCGCGACAAATTGTCATTATTTTAGCTTAGAATATTATTTTTATGTTGGATCAACAACAGAATGTTTTTCAGGTTTTGCTTGTTAAAACGTAATCAAATAATCGTAAATAATTATTATTGTTTTAAATTGAAACTACTAATTACTAGGTTGACTATTTGTTCGCTGCTGCTTGTGCGTAGTTCATAAAAACTCTGTCAGCTCTATAACTTGTTGCGCTCACTAATAATAGTTGAAGACACTCAACAGTAATATTTGCTATCTATAACTTATAAGTGACTCGAGATAATGGCGAGCAATAATTGAGGAGACGGACAGGGAATGTCCTAATCTTTTTATCTCCCAAGGCCGTGGTTTCGATAATACGATGTATTATTACACGTTTTGACAATGGAGTTTGGTCTTGCGTTTACTCTCCAAGAACGCACCATGACGGTAAACACGTAGTGTTTCCATAGCCTCCCCCTCAAATCCACATACGTCAATCATCCGCATATAAGTCTTATATCATAGACACACACTCGCGCACCCGGCCGTATAGGTATATACTATACAATAATATAATAACCACCTCGGCCGCCGTCCACGTCATTATTTTCTCGGACACGGAGCGCCGCGAGGAGCCCGATTCCATCAATTTCCGATTTCCTTTCGGTCTTCCGGTCCCGTACACTGGCGAAAAACACCGCAAACGGCTGCGGGTCCATCGTTGACGGATGGACAGATGGACGCGCGTCGTCGCGGACTCGCGCGTCCGAAACGGTTTTTAAAAACGCCGACGCGAGCGTGATAAATGAAACCGCCTTTGCCACCGCCAGAGCCCGATAACGCGTATATAAATAACCTTTTATGTGTCCCGTCTGCGCGCACACGAGCCGCTCGTCGGGTTTGACAGCGTGTAAACAATCGTAAGCCGCCGCCGCCACCCCATTCCGCGGCGCCATTTCTCACACGTTCTCCCTCCCCCCCGCGACGCTCGCTCGGCGCACACGAATTCGGTCCGGCCCAATATATGAATTCGACCTCCACAAACCACCCAACCCCACCCGCGCAACCCCTCCAACCCGCCCCGACGGTCCTTTAATTGGTTCGGACCCGGAGACCGTGGGCAGCGCGTGTCCGCGTGTATACACCTCGATGTATCTTCGTCAAACCGGCCCGATGCATCCTACCCCGCCACTACCCCTCAGATACACCACCCCCACCAAAATCATACCCCCTCCTACTATAACAAGTCCGCCGTTCATACACAGCAGGCACACAGCCACGGCTTCATGGTGTCGTCGCGTCTTCTTCGTCGTCGTCGTCCACGGTGGCGGGCGACGTCTTCATTTTTCGGCTTCGTGTAATATAGAACGCGAGAGCTCGCTCGACCGATAGGCGATAATATATCACGCCGCCGACTATTCTCTAAACGGATAGCACGCTCTCTGTTTACAATGTATATATTATATAATATATAGTCTCTCGGTCGTGTTTTCGGGCTCTTTCCCGTGTGCGCGGGGGCTGACAATAATATATCACGCGTTCAACGTGTTCTATGTGTATATGTGTATATTATGTATACATATATATATTATGTATTGTATATACGGCTGACTTTACGATAAAAACAATTTACCGCGGTCTCGTTACGCCGTCGAAAATTTCTACGCCTTGTATATCATATTCTTGGACCACACTTCGTCTCCGCTCTATACAAAGTGGTAGTATAGAACTATGTGTTACATAATATTATAGTTTTCTCGTGTTATCTGATCAACTCAACTACAACCAACGCATAAATCATAGTAATAATAATAATATTATATTATACCGCATTGTATTATAATACTATATCGTGTTCTGCGGCTTGTATAATCGGTCGTAATCGATAAGTCGGTTAGTGGTCGCCATCGTAGGCCTCAATCAGAATTCCACCGATGTCGGATTTGTGCGACAGACAACGTGGCGTTAAGTGCAGCGAGTCTCGGCTCAAATGCAAACTCTCCGTTTTCCGACAATAATACATCCCCAATAACGGTCTTGTTTCGTGATAAATGTGCCGGGGGGAGTGGAATCAGATTAAGGAAGCCCTTGGCCAAATATCGCAGGGCGAAAAGCGCGTATTTTCACCCTCCGCCGACCCGCGTGGTTGATATCTCTGTGGGATACACATATTTTCACCACAGATATATTCGCTTATCGAAACAGCAACACACGGACAAATGGACGATACATATATAAACTCAGAGAAAAATACACACGAGTCCAGTGTTATCCAATTGCTAACCACCACGGATTCACCAATAATATCGGATTTCGTTCAGAGTTATTACCACTTCATATAATGTCAGATGCGTTTTATTGAATACAAATTTATTTCGCTATATTATGATGTTGATAACCCTTGTTATTGATTACGTGTGGTATTTTAATCATAATGATATAGTATCACAAGTTTCGTCCAGTACCTGCAGCTATATATTTTTTTGAGAATTGGTTTCCTCGCACACTCTCTTTTGTCTTACATTTTTTCTTACTATTATATCTATTTATACACACATATATAATATATAGTATATTGTATAGTGCATAGGGTACTAATAATCGATTCTTGAATTTTAACCAAGTCAATATTGTTTACGTAATTATTTAAGTTGATCATTATGTCCTGTATACAGATATGATTTTAATTTGCACCTTTAATTTAATGAATACTTTAAATGTATACAGGTACTTACCTAGTTACCTACATGTTTATAGACTTAAGTCCACGTCCACCCCGTTACTATCTTACATAATAAGTTATATATTTTTAATATAATGTACTTATTGTACGGTTTAGTACGTCCAATATTATTAACTAACAATTTCTCATCAAACTATTTTAGTTTTAATGATTGAACCCAAAAAGACAAAAAGTATTAACTGTAATAACATGTAACATTGCATTGTTAATTAAATTATCATTTCTATACTTTATGACATGTTTTAAATATTCTGAGTTATTTGATATATTTTATAAGGCATTTTAAAATGTCTTCGAACTTTTTTTAAGTGTTGACAAAAATATTTAATCTCGGTCAAAAGCATTAGTAAAATTTAAGAAAATATTCCATACATAAATTGTTCTTAAAGTTATTTAAAAATCTGAAAAATATAAAAGCACAACTTTTATTTAAGTAATTTGAACTTCTAATTTTGATAAAATGTGATATTTAAATGAAGAACAACAATTTTAGTTATTTATTGTTATTGTTCAAAAATATTATTCATGAGAGCTTGAAACTTTTACGTAGGTTTATTTTACCATGGATTGTTCAGTACATTTAGATTAACTTTAAGATATTGACTAGGTATTAATTATATCACGGACCTATTCACACCGTTCTACGATAATTTGGTATTGACTCAGCAACAAAGACTGATGTAAATTATTATAAAATATTAAATAGTTTAATAACTAATAATATAATAAATGCGATGTTTTCAAAAAAACAAGATCGATCTACGTGTGTTACTAATTGTAAAATAAATTATTTTGATATCAATATAAATATATAATAAATTACAGTGGTACACAATCAAGATTCATTTTCATACTTGATTTAGAACTGTTTATTTTTCTAATTTATCTATATCATTAGTTTTAACACTGTAAATTACATAGTGGTAACGTACTATTTAGGAAATATAATTTTCAAAATACTATAAAACAATAATTAAAATGAAAGTAAAACCAGAACTATATAACTAGTGGTTTTCAAATCTCAAACTATAATTTTGGAAGAAAAATGATTTGGTGGCAATAAAAACTTAACTTTTTTTCATTTTGGCGTCCAAATCTTTAAACAAAAAATATTCAATTGCTCACCTTTTATTTATAGATAGATAATGCATATTGAAAAAAAATTATGTTTTTATTAAATATTTAAATATATTTTATACTTTACAACTATATATATACAGATTACAGAAGACGTATACAAATTTACTACATACAATGTATTATTTGTTTTGTTTTATTTTTTAGGAAAAAATATACAATCTCTATCATAGACATAATAAGTATATATAGGTTAAGAAAAAAATAAATAGAACATTAGTTAGGTACATAATTTGGGGAAATTGATGACACTTTCAATTTGATTTGGTCTTGTGTATTTTTATTTTATGGTTTTTTTTTCAATGTAATAAATCTTTGCACTATATAAACGTTTAATTCGCCTTGAGGGACTACCTTGGATTGTGATGGATGTAAGTTCTTGATGAGAGGATTTGAATGAGTAGATAGACGGTAATGACATTATCTATATGAACATTTAGGTTCGCCGTGAATGGTTTTTAAGTTACAATCTATGTGACATGTATAGACTGTAGAGTATGGTTTGATATGAATGGAGGGGCATTTACTAATTTTCTTAAGGTCATATTTTGAAAAGCTTGTACCTTATTTAGATTGGACTTTTTAGCATTTACCCATAGCTGGAGTCCGTATGTCCAGATGGTTTTTAATAAGGTTTTGTACATGAGGAGTTTGATAATATTAATAAGGGTGACTTTGTACCTGCTAAGCATACTTAGTCGATTATTTAGGTATAGTATTTTTTCACTTAAATATTGAGCTTAAGTTAATCGACGATCAAGTGTTAGACCAAGGTATTTTACCGTGGGTGATGAAGGGATAGGGAAGCTATAAAAAAGTATATTTGGCCAAGGGGCTTGCCTAAGTGTGAAAGTAGTGCGTACTGATTTGTTTTACTTTAAATTTCTATTTAGTATACCAATTTTCCATCAAGTCAAGATGAAGTTGCAAATAAAAAGAGGCCAAGAGTGGGTCTTTATTAATCTATATAATTACTTTATCATCAAAATATTCTACAACTAAGGTAGTTGATGATGTGGGTTGGTCAGAGACGAACATATTGTAGAGCAATAGAGATTTTAGAACTCCGGTGTTTATACTTGCTATTTCAAACATGGCAGTTCTTGTATAATTTGTTAAAAACAAATCAAACTTGTATATTATATATTTATTTTATTCATGGGTCCCTCACATCTGGTAGCGCCCCTGATAAATTATACTTTTTTTGTATACAATTAATTATCGTTTAATTCAGATTTAACACATCCATTACAATAACGAGGTATAGGTAGTGTATAATATTCTACACATACTATCTGACTTTTCCCGCTTTTAAAAAAAAAAAAAATTTAGTAATTGAAATATTGTCGAACGTTAATGTTTTTGAAAAATAAGAGAAAATAATATATTATATTATATTCTTATTTTGTTTGCTGATTCCATTGAGCAAACTGACCGAAGTATGAGAATCATGGCAGCGCCCATTATGCTGTTATTAGACCAATTAGTTACTCCCTTAATAATAGGATTAAAAGACCGAGGGGAATTTCGCATCAGTACGAGGCTTGAAACCACTGAAAGTATAATAATACAAATGGCTTGAGGGTATAAAATAACGAGTGTCAACCAACCATGCTAAGAATACATTTTTGATTGAATCTACTATACTCGCAGTGTTACAAAGAGAATATGTTTAGTTAAAAAAAACTTTTTATGTGTATTTCTTTATATTTTTCACATAATGTTTACATATTATACACCACATTCATATAAAGTAAACAAATTAATAAATGAAATAACTGTTGAAACTATATCAAGAAATTGTTGACAATGGAATTTCATTATTATTATACGATATTTTTTGTACTTGAAACTCAGTTGAAATATTCGATATATTAACATAATACATTTTATAGATCAAATGAAGTCACATGTTGTAAAAATGTATAGTGTATTATATTATAATATGGATAAGAAAATAAGATTAGTATTAGCTCTTAAATAATAACTACGTTTAAGTTTGAAAAAATATATTTTTACAAGATCATTGAAAAAGTTTTTGAAAAACTAAAAATAAAAATATTAATGTAACAAAGT